TGTGTGTATTTTATACAATATTGAATATAGGTAAAATGGAAGAATATTGTGATATTCTCCTGTCACAAACAGAACGAGAAAAATTAGTATAGTGAAGGGTAATTCAATGGTAATAGATAAAAAAAGAGATGATCTCTTTTTCTGGAATTGCGAAAAAAAGTTTTATTTCAATGCAAAAAGCGTGCATCCACAATTTTAATTGACAAAAACATAAGTTGAGATGTGGAAATGATCATAATCATGCTCCAGAAACTAGTCCAGCTCCAGTTTCTGTTGCAAGTTCTATATTAAAAGGTAAATAACTAATTTAATTATTTTTATTTCAATTATTATTTTTATTTAATAATTATTTTTTTAAGAGTATTTAGTAATTTAAGTTTAACTTAATAATTCTAAGATACAGCTCGGTCTATAACTCATAAATAACCGTTACAATTTATTTAGTATGCACAATCCAACGTTTCAGAGAATATAAAACTTCATTTTCTCAGTTACGATACACTATGGATTGAGCTGATTTAATTACTAATTGTATTGTTTTCGGTATTTTGGTTGTCGGCTGATTGTCCTGTCGGTCGATTCTTGCGCTTCAATGGTTTCGTTATCGCTCCACGTCCTGCTGCTCTTTTCGCTTTTCGTTGTCCTACGTCGACATTGCGATTTTGTTGGTAATTTTTTCTTAGGGATTCGCGCTGTTTTTGTTCCATCTGTCTTACTGATTCACGTTTTTTTTCACGTTGTAATCTCTCGGCATTGCGCTGTTCTTGTTCCATTGCTCTTTGTGACTCGTGCATTTGTCGCTCCTCGTCACGCCGCTTTAGGTCCTTGTTTCTTTCCTTTTCTCGTAAATCTCGCTCTCTCTCCCTTTCTAAATCGCGTTGTTTCCACTCTTCCTCCCTTTTTTTCTCACGAGCTTGCCGTTCGAGTTCGCGTTTTTTCCACTCCTCCTCCCTTTCGGTCTCACGAAACTGCCGTTCTCTTTCTCTTTTTTCATCTTGTTTTTTCCTCTCTGCATCTAATATTTTCTGTTTCTTCTGTACTATTTTTTTTTCATCATTAGTTAATGGTCTATAGCAGGGGTTCGCAACCTTTTTAACCACACGGGCCATTTTTTTTTTCAATTGTTCATCAAGGGCCACATTAAAAAAAAAAAAGTTACATATTATGATATAATACTTATAATTGTATTGTTATTATGAAACGGTTAGATTAGATTTTATTTATAAAGGAAAAATAATTATATAATATTCAAAATTATATGAAAAATGTTATTGAACAAAAGTAAAACACAAAAATTAACCACCTTTGTGCGGGCCATCAAAAACTGCTTTGCGGGCCGCATGCGGCCCGCGGGCCGTGGGTTGCCTACCCCTGGTCTATAGCTTTTCACCCCTGTAATAATATTGCTATTTATCTCTGAAAAAATAAGCAATTATAAAACATAGATAAAAAAGAACTGGTATAACTCACCTAATTCGTGTTTGAGGGATAAAGCCATATGTGAATTATTAAATAATTAAGGTTATAGTTATATTGTGCATGTCAATTATTTATTCGAAACGGAATATTAGAATATTAGGAATATTAATAATATTTATGTATATTTTATACATTATCAAGCATTATTAGTAGTAAAAGAGGAGAGCTTTTAAGCAGTAACGGTGGTTTTAGAACTCTCTTTTTTTAATAATGCTATGAATAAGACGTTTTAATTTTTATCCGATAATTGTCTGAATTTATTTTATATCATTATGATTTTTTCAGTACAAATTAGTATATTTCAATAGTTGTTTGATTATGAAAGACTTGAAATTTTAAAATTTATTAATCTGCTGTTCGGAAAAAGAACAAACATTAACTGTTTGTTGGGTGGAGAACGGTAATCTTATAACGTATTAATTGTCAATAAAAATTAAACTTCTGGTGTAGGCGTCACAAGAAATTTTTACATTTTTATTAGGTCACAAATTGAAGTAATTAAATTCATTTACCATAATATATTACAAATATAAAAATATATTATTATTTCTTAATTCTAATCATTTATATTACTTTAAGTTTTGCTTCCTCCAAAAACTATTTCATAGTCTGTATTTAAGTATGATTTTCCATCAATAAAATCAATTGAAAATGAACTGAAATAAAAAGTTTATCAAAAAACATGTAATTTAAAATTAGTTTTTAACTTACGAAGATGATAATGCCACGAAAATAATCACCAAAAAAAGAGACGTGAATATCGGATTAATAAAGTAGAGCTTCATGTTTATTAGTATAGTCACAATTATTGGACCACGAATCAACACAATTTGTTTCGCCGTAGCCTGAGGGTTATATTTTGCTCACTACGAAGACAGCAAATGCATTGATATAATTATGGGTATGACATGTGTTATATATTGTAAACGGTGTGTAGATTAAAATTGTTCTAAATAAAATAAAAACGATTTGAATATGTTTAGAAAATTAAAATATTTAAATAACTGAAAATTTGTTCACTATTCATCAAGTGTTTGGTATATTCAATGAAATTGCGAAATCTCGAACACTATTTACCAAAGAACAATAATTATAACTAATCGTTGTAATACTAAACCAATTATTATTGTTTGAATATTGCATATCTGATGCTACGTTATGTTAATGGATCTAACTCGTCTAGTGTTATGTTCAATAATTGAAAAAGCATTTTTATAAATTTTTTTTTTTTTTTTTTAAATTTTAATTATATTGTTCAAAGGCGTAATTAGGCGTAAAGTTAAGGTTGCTAAAATAATTTGTTACATAATCTCCCGAAGCGTTTCACTCACATGTAAATATGTAATATATACAAAATTGTTCAATATCGTTTATTATATTTTTTCTTAGTAATCTTTTTAACATATCATTTTTTTGCTATACTTACGTAGTTACGTGTTTTAACTATTTTATTATTTTGGTCAATTTATATGAGTTTGTTTTTACTTACATATTGAACAGATTGTTGTGCTATACAGTGTACTAATTACCTACACATTTTTAGCAGACATATTGGTGGATGTAAATTGTGGTATAAGACGACATACGAGACTGTATGATCGTCGACACTCGTAAGCTTTGATCGTTGGCATGATCAATAAGTGAATCGGATAGCTGGCCCCGGCGGTTCCGAATGTTGGATCTCGACGTGACTTTCCTTTTTGTACCAATGACGGAAGCGGTGACAGTGGCAGAGATTCAAGTAATTGATGGCTGATCGAATTCCAGCATTATAGACATGGAGACGCTGTGTTTGATTGTAAGCCCGTCTTGTATGTGTTCAAACAGTTTTCGAGCGTAATGGCATATTGTATCGGGACGGGCCAACTACTCGAATTTGACCGGCGGAGTACCAGATTGTAAATTTCGTATTAGATTAACTAGTGCGTTGGTTCACCGACATTTTGCCTTGTAATCTTATTGATAGAGAAAAATTTGTCAGCTACTATCGTTCCTGCCTATTGCACTTGCATTCATGCGAGGCTTTAAAGTCATGACTACCGTCGTCTAAATGCATTACATCGTACGGCCGTTGGGCCATCCATCACAGGCGGACGTCAATAGTCAAACATATTTTTTTAAGCACATATAAAATATTTTGCTTATTCAGAATTATTTAAATTTGTTTTTATTTAGTTTAAAAAAATAAATAAAAATAATATTAGTAATAAGTATAAATAAACATAACCATATCAGTATAAAGATCAATCAAAATTTATTTTTAAAAATTTCATATTATAACAAATTATACCTAGTAATTTATGTCATTATTATTATCATCTAATCTTTATCAGTTAATTTCAGACTCATTTATACGGCGAAGTTTTGTCAATAGGTTAGAAAGATGCAACGTAGGGCAAGGTAATTAATATTTTTGATTTATTGAGTTATTTTATATAGAAAAAATAAAGATAAGAGTAAAGAGTGATAATAAAATATTGTTTGCTAAAATAATTGTATAGCTCACTTTAACATGCAAGATGATCAAAAAAAATATAGCTCAATATATTATTATTTACACTCATTTAAACTGAATAAATATTTTTAAATATTTAAATATATATATTAGGAAGTTGTTGATAGTTAATGTTATTGAATATTTAAATAAAAATAATTTTTAAATCGAAAGTTTTTCTTGTAATTCAGTTGGACAAACAACTTAAGTTATAATAATATGTATGATTTAAAAGGGATTTTTGTAATTATTGTTTACTATTAAGAATATACAGAGATATACACTATACTGATATACAGATTCTAAATAATGTTTTGTTTACCAATAGTTTCTCTATATTTTGGTAAAATGGGTGTGTTTTTAGTATTACATGTGTGTGATTAATTTATAACTTAGTTTTATGTACTTTTTTTGCCCATAAAAAAGTGGCATACTAAATTTATGTACAGCTATACAATTTAATGATTTATTAAAAAAAAAAAATTCTAATTTTATTAACCTTATCTGGTACAACTATTTATTTAACGATAATATAATATATTGTGCTTAAACAACGAAAAATATTTATGTATAAGTTGCTGAAGATGAGTCAGATATTGACTCATATGGTTCAGATATTGAGAGGTTATCTTATTTTATATATCTTATAATATATTATTTCCTTTATTTAAAACTATAGGTACTCCATAAATTTAATTTTTAGCAGTTAATAAATATTTTTTTTTGACTAAAATAATAAAAGTTTATAGTGCAAATCACTTAAAATATGATAAATGTGTAATGTGTATGAGTAAACCTATTATTAAATAGTTAGATAAAACAAGGCAGAATAAAATAAAATAAAAGCGCACAGGCAAATGTTGTTTAGTTCATTTTATATTACCTACAGTTAAATAATATTTAAAGATTTTCTAAGAGTTTACAATTAACAATATTTTTTTCTGGCTTGAATATTTTATGCTAGCTTACTAATCTTATTCTTTAGTAAAAAATTATAAAATAATTTCCTTGACGTTTACGAAATATATATTAATATGGAGGTGAATATAAGTTACTATATTTTGAAGTTTTTTAAAAATATTTTAAGTTATATGTTAAAATATTTGTACAAATTTTTATATTTTTTAAATTTAAACATACAGATACAGAAAGATAATGACGAGACAAAAAACGTTATAGCAGATGCCTTGGTTAGGCACAACTTTTACAGAAAAAAACACAATGTGCCTCCTTTAAGAATTAATTCAAAGGTTTGTAATTATAAATTATTGCATTTTAGTAACTAAATCATAAATTATTTATAAATATAAAAAATGAAATTATTTTTTTTTACAATTTAAATAGTATTTAATTTAAAATATTTAAAACATGGCATTACAGTGAATAATGAATGTGTTTTTATAATTTCTGTTTTTTTTTTTTTTTTTTTTTTAGTAGGGATGGGGTCATCATTAAGGATATGTGATTAAATGACTATTTTTTTTTAATGTGTTTGAATTTAATATTAAGGAATTTGTGAGTAAAATTTAATATTCACTTACATTTTTAAAGTAGTCAGTATCATTATTGGTTTGTTAAGTAGTTATGAAATGTTGCTTAACAACATAATTTGGTAACACATATTCATAACATAATGACCAAATTTAATCATAAATAAAATAGAACTTTATACTCAATAAAGTGAAAATGATAATTGATTTTTTACTAACGTAATTTTATTTTAAGTATGTCTAATACTATTAATTATATATAGTACTATGTGTCTATATATTATGAAATTCTTAAAAATAAATAATGAAATCAATGAAATAATTATCTTTATATAATAAATCCTAACACCTATAATATATAACATAAAAAATGTTTTGAACTTTGTAATTGAAAATCATTTTATTATTTCTTTAAAATGTTTTGTCATGGAAAAATTTCCATAAGTAATAAGATTCTATAGTAAAATATAAGTAACTTTAAGTTACTTAATAACGTTTTGATAATTTT